GCCAGCAGCCCCTGAAGCCCCCCCCTCCCCCTGCCATGGTGGCTTTCCGGTGGCCACACGAGCTGGGGGGAGGGAAGGGGGGGCAAGGCTGGAAAATGTCCCTGCGCCCTTCCTGCCGGAGCTCTGGAGCCGATTCCCAGCCGATAGTGCGGAAAGGGGATGCTGTGCACAGCCCCTATTAGACATCAGAGAATCCACCCTGCACTCKCAGGGAAAAAGCCCAGCGGTTTGGGCACTTTGTGGGTGCCACTTTGCCCTTGGTGGGGGACATGGTGTCACCCCGCAGCCAACCCTGCTGCATCCCCCGCCCCCACCCATGGGCCCAGGCGTCCGGGCCCAGGCGGCTCCCGGCCCCGGGGCGCGTGGGAGCCTCAGGGGAAGCGCGGACGGAGCCAAGCGGAGCTTTTCCAGGCGGTGCCGGGGCCATGGCTCGGAGCCACCTGGCTGGGTGACACCAGGTGGCTCCCACGGCTCCCGTGGCGCCTCCCGGCCGGCGCGGCAATGGGAGCGCACGAGGCCAGGAGGGAGCGGGAGCTTTCCCGACATCGTGGCACCGGCACCGGTGCCTCTCCGGACTCCAATCCCGGCGCTCCCAGGGAACGGGGCAGTGCAGGGGCTCAACCCCACRTAGCCATCAGAGAATCCACCCGGCTGCAGGTCAGTGCCACAGCCTGGGGCCACAGCTGGTTAACCTGCAGCGCCACTAAGCCTCTGGTTAACCCACTGCCCAACTAACCTACAACCTGGTTAACCCGCAGTTCAGCTAAGCCGCAGCCTGGTTAACCTGCAGCCCAACTAATTCACAACCTGGTTAACTCATGGCCTGCTTAACCACCACTCAGTTATCCCGCTGCCCTATCCCAGTTATCCCGGGAACTTATGGCTTAGTTTATCCACAGCCTGGTTAAGCCGCAGCCTGGTTAAGCCGCAGCAGGGACAGTCCCTGTCCTAACCAACCCACAGCCCTGATAATGCACAGCACTGATAAGGCACCGCAAATTCAGAGTGCAGGTAATCCGGAGCCTGGGTAATCCGGAGTACAGCTGGAGCACAGCCAATCCGGAGTACAGCTAATCCGGAGCATGGCTAATCCAGAGTGCGGCTAATCCGGAGCGCGGCTAATCCGCACCTGCAGTGCAGGTAACCCGAGCCTGGCTATGGGGAGCCGGGCTGATCCGGAGCGCAGCTAATCCAGTTCTCTGCCCTAATGCGGGTCCCGTCCTGGTCTCCTGCTCCCTCCCAATCTGCCCTTGAAACGTCCTTGCCCCGRGGCCACCCGGGTGGCACGGGGAGGGGTCGCGACCCTCCGCAATGGCCCATCCCGGTGGCCTTGGGCCGCCCGCCTCGGTTGCCATGGCGATGCCCACGGGAGCCCCTGTCCCCCTGCAGGGCTGGAAGGGAAGGGGGGACCAGCACAGGGATGGGGGACATGGGGACTGGGACCAGGGCTATGGGGCATGGAAGACACGGGGAAAGGGTGACAGGGAGCATGGGGACAGGGGGGCAAGGGGACAGGGGATACAGGGATACAGGAACAGAGTGGACATGGATGCAGAGGGATACAGGGACATGGGGATGGGGGGACATGCGGATACAGGGATTTGGGGGTGGAGGGACATGGGTGCACAGGGATACAGGGACATGGGGATGGGGGGACATGCGGATACAGGGATTTGGGGATGGAGGGTCATGGGTGCACAGGGATACAGGGACACGGGACAGGTGGGACACGGAGACACAGGCACAGGGGGTCCCAGTGACACCAGTCCCCAGGGCCACAGGACCGATGGGGGACACGTCCCTGCCAAAGGGGTGATGCCCCCCATACAGAGACCCCTGTGCGGGGGGCTGGCCAGGACACGGGGCCACCGGAGCAGGATGGGGGGGACACGCACGGCCCAAGGAGCGGGACCCCAACCCCTTCCCCCGCCCGTGCYGTCGGGGCCGGTGCCAGGCGCGGCGCCGCGGGGCCGGGCGCCCCCCCTACCTTGCTGGCTCCGTGGGGGGCACCGGGGCGCCCTGGCCTGGTCAGCGCGGCCGTCGGCGGCTCCCCATGGGCTTTATGGCCGCCGGGGCCCGGCCGTCGGTGCGAGCGGCCCCCCCGGGCCGGTCCGCCTCGCCGGGCCCGGGCGGCACCAATTAGCGGGGCCCGGGGAGGGGGCCCGGGGGGCGGGGGAGGAGCCGCGCGGGGAGGGCCCGGGGGGGTTAATGGGGTGGAAAACGAGCCGGCCCGGCCCGGGTCACGTTACCGGCCCCGGGGCGGGGGGGCGGGAGCGGCGGGACCCGCCCCGTGGGGCTCCGCGCCCGCCCGACGCCACCGGCACCGGGTATCGGGCAGCGGCACCGGGTCCCGACACCGGCACCAGGTGCCGACACTGGGCACCCAGCAGGGCCCTGCTGGACACCGGCACCGGGCAGGGTCCCCCACGGGAACAGGGGACGTCCCCTCCCCATTCCCACGGTGTCCCGTGTCCCCCTGCCCCTGTGCATGGGGGTGTCTGCGCATGGAGGTGACGAGGGGACGAGGTTCCGCCTGGGAGGAACACGCGTGTCACCCTGTGCACGCCCCACATCCACAGAGACACACAAACACCTGTACGCACCCCCATCCCCACGCCTGTACGCACCCCCATCCCCACGCCTGTACTCACAACTACCCCCGTCCACAAGCGCACACCCGGCGGCTCACCCGCGCGTGTCCGCCTGTGCCTGCAAACACCTTCCCCCGCACACACGCAGATGCCTGTGCGCACAGGTGCGTGCCCGCCGGCACACGCACACCCGCACTGCACAGCCGCGTGCACTCGCACTCACACTCACACTCACACTCACACTCACTCAGGGGTCTATAGAGCAGGGTGCTGCCCTGAGCCCGTCACCGGGAGCCCAAACCGGGGCCATCGCCTGTCCCCAAATGTCCCCAGTTGCCCCAACGCCCCCAGTGGGGTCAAACCAGTGGGGACCCGCTCCAGGGGGGGGTCCCGCCCCGTTCCCGATGCCCCTGGGCCGCAGGGGGGGCGCCGCGGGAGCCGGGCCGGCCCGCGGGGACACGGGTGGCCGCGGCCCCGGCGCACAAGGCCCCGCTGTTCCCGGGAAGAGGCCGGTCCCCCCGGGCCGGGGACAAAGCGTCTTTGTCCGCCCGGGTCGCGGGGGAGGAGCCGGGGCCGCACAGGCCCCGCCCCGCAGCCCCTCCCCCSCCCGGGCCAGCCGAGCAGGGAGCCTGGGCTACCGGCGGGCGGCCCTGGGCTAGTGATGGGGGAGCCCTGGCTAGTGATGGGGAGGGGGCTGGCTAATAATGGGGGAACCTTGAGCCTTGGCTAATAGCGGGGGAGCCCTGGCTAGTGATGGGGGGGCTGGCTAGTGATAAGGGAACCTTGGCTAGTGATAAATGAGCCCCAGTTAGTGCTGTGGAAGCCCCGTGGAAGCAGGGCTGGCTACCAACGGGGGCCCTGGCTGGCAATGGGGGACCCCGACTAGAGGTGAAGGGGCTGTGGCTACTGACGTGGCAGCCCGGGCGAGCAAGGTGGGCGGGTGACTAGTGACAGAGGAGYCGTGGCTACCAAAGGGCTACCGGGGCTAGCAGCCAGAGCGGGACCTTGTCCGTATGTGGGATCCCCCAGGGTGCTGTCAAGCGCCTGTGCCCCATGTCACCCACCTGTGTCCCCAGCGTGCTGGTGTCCCCTACACATGGTACCCCCCGGTGTGCCCGTGTCAGCTGCGTGTGTGCCGCGGTTGTGCTCGTGTCACACGCGTGTGTGCCCCTGGGGACAGCCCTTTCTAGGCCACGCTGTTCCCGCGGTGCCAGCGCAYGGATGTGGGACACCTGGAAAGGTGCCCTGTCCCCTGGGCGGCGGCGCCTGCCGGGCTCGGCGCCGGACCCAGGCGTCCGGGCACGTGTGCAGGTGGGTGACAACCGGCGTGTGCCCGGTGCCAGGGGGGCCCYCGTGTCACCCGCCGTGTCACCCCCATGCGAAGTATGTGGTGGGACACACGTGTGTGCCCAGGTGTGACACCCGCGGGTGCCCTTGCGGGTGCYGGTCCCGCTCCGGGGCTGGACGCCTGCGAGACCGACTCGGTACCGGCAGGGGGAGGCGGGACCGGATCAGTACCGGGGGCGGGGGGGGCCTGGGCTGGGGGAGTCTGGGTCGCTGCAGGGGGGTCCAGGTCGGTACTGGGAGGGTCTGGGTTGGTACCAGAGGTATTCGGGCCGGTACTGGGAGGGCTCGAGCTGGTGCCGAGGGACCGGGGTCGGTACCAGGGGTGGCTGGATCGGTACCAGGGGTGCTGGGATCGGTGCCGATCGTGGTCGGGTTGGTACCGGGGGTGGCCGGTGCCGGGGGTGGCCGGATCGGTACCGGGGGTGGCCGGTGCCGGGGGCGGGCGCTGCTCAGTATTTTTAGCCGAGCCGTTCCCGGTGCGCAGCCGTTGCCGTGGGAACGGCGGAGCGGGGCCGCCGGGAAAGGCCGGTCCCGGCGCCGTGCCGGGGGTGACCGGACCGGACCGGACCGAATCGAACAGAACCGAGCCGGACCGAAAGGAGCCGGACCGACCCG